GTCGTACTTACCCTGGAAAAATCATTTTCATAGTTGGATTTTACTGATTCATGGTCGCTATCCACGTCGTTGGGAGATACCCATTGGGTGCTCGCCTCTTGCTTGCTTGCTCGCCCCTATTCTTGGCTGACGGCGCAGTCAAGCCCTTTAGAACACTGTTTTTGATGTTCGATACTTTGCCCCCCCCCCCTCAGCACACGCCATTCTTGTGGAAAACAACAAGGAGGGTCATTTCTGACCACGGGAGGAGGAGGTAGCGTGAGCGTGGTTACCTAAAGGTGGGGAGAGCAGCGATACTCAGATCACGTACAGTCTCGTGTAGCATCTTGAGCTAAGTCATTCAGAGAAGCATGTACGCGCCCAGTTATATAAGGTTGAGTAACTTCTAATTTGCTGTGTTGAGCCCTTCGCAAAACCTGAGCGGTGTACGTTTCAAAAAACAATGTGGCAGGGGCGAGTTTTTCCAGTCTCAGGACGCTGGCCGGGATCGAAGTGATACGCGACAGTCGGTACGTGACCAACGAGCCCGGCGTCCACGAGCACTGCCCCGGGAACATAGTAAGTGGGGAGTGGGCGAGCAGGTCCCAGCTAATGCCAGTGTCAGCGACCACCTCGCCGGGACTCGCGAAATGGAGATGACTAGCAAAGGACCCAAGTCCACTTAAAAGAAGCGCCGAAGCAAAAAGTTGACCTGGATTCCTGGGCTATCGTGCTACAATCGCGGTAATGCGTGTCCTATTGCCAAACGGCAGATAGGATTCCGACGCGCACCTTAGTCGGAAATTTTCATTCAGATCGGCGGTAGGGGGGGGCTGCCTGCTCCTCCCCTCCCCCGCTACTTAGCCGCTTCGTCGACACCTCGTGACGAAGCGCTCGGAAGTTTTTTGGAAACTAGAAAAAGGTCGGTAGAAAGTTGTTCAGACACTAGGAGCGATGGGATGATGTAAAAGGCCAGGAACCTTTAAAAAAGGGGGTCGTATTTCGTGAGAATTTTCTTTGTGCAACAAGACGTGCCTAGTATTGTCAATGACCTGTCTCCAATTGGTTTATGTGACGTCAATGACACGTCATTTACTCCCCAAGAGTAGCTCACTGGACCCTCTGCCTGGGCTACATCACTGCTGAACATCAACCATCGTTCATTTCCTATCGGCATTTTCAAAAATTCATTGTCATTTTATTCCTATTGAGCTGACGCATCTGGTAAAGCGTCCAATGAAGAACTTTTTTTGACTTTTTTGAAAAGCTGTCATCTTGGTGGTTCAGCACAGTTGAGATAATTAATTTTTGAATCAACTACATGGAGTCCAATCGGCGTGACGCAATAGAAAACGAAGGGAATGGTGACTTTGCACTAGATGATTTCCAAGAGCATCCCTCCTCCAATAAACGAGAAACATTACAAGTAGATGCGACTGCCAGATAAAATCGGCTTTACTCCGAAATTAGTTCTTCAAAAGCGAAGAGCACAGGAAGATGTTCCTTCTGATACTGCGGAAACTGCCAAAAACGACATCTACTCGGTCTAAGTGAGCCCCACGCATGTTTACCCCTGCTAAAGCAAATCGGCGCCTCGAATTCTATGACGTTTCTCATTTCAGGGTTATTTCAGATCTGAATGGAACCAATAAGCAAATTGAAAAATCTGTTCTCCAGAATCCTAGCCCTGCAAACTTTCTCAAAATGTAGCACAGAACAAGTCTTCTGTGCATAACTACAAGCTTTTCTCCACTTAAATGCAAGTTCTGACTTAAAAAAACGACTCGCGTGCGGGAAGCTCACAATTTTGCGCTATTTCTTCCTCACGCCCGCCTCCGTCATCAACTAAAACCAAGATACTGTACAGAGCTCGTTCTTCAGAATGTTACTGACTATCCCGCGTATATGCGGATGATGTTGTGTAGGTGTCGCTGCACCCACTCAACGATGCCGCCATGTATCCAGGATCAAATCTCGAATGGCTCCCGCCCAGGCCAACCAAGCCTTTTACCCCTGGGGATGGTAAATGGTATCAGACTGTCTGGGGGACCGCAACACTGGTGCGTACATTGGCGCCCCGCAGGTTCATTTATGGGCCACATCGCAAACAGAAATGCTATTCATATCTGAACAGGAGTAGAGAACATTGCTGCACTCTCAAGAGAATGGGAATTTGTCAACGTACATTCTGTACTGCAGCGCACTTCTTTCTATTTTCAGTGCTCAGCTACATACCCAGCTATTCTGTTCATCTGCAACACTATGGTCAGCCCTATCTTATCGAAACAGCATCACACGCTGCTTCCAATTACTATTGCCGTTATAAATGCGGTAAAGCTAGCGTTGATCAAGCGCACAGATAGAGCGAAGCTGTGTAGTGAGTATTTACCGAACGAAAGAAAAAAGCTGGGGTCAGCCGTCCACGAGAGATGGCCAACGGCTCACCGACGAGCCAGCTGGCAAACAATAACACAAAGAACACTATAATACGATGCTCATTAAGAAGTGTGTGTTGGAATGATGGTCAGTGGAAAAAATCGACTTACTCTAGGAACAAGCTTTTCAGCGAATTTTGATGATTTAACGGTATTTAAGCGCCGGCGTGGCACGGGCGCCAGCGAGATTTCGTTGCCTTACGGATGTTTCGATATCATGTCAGGCGTCAATAATACCATAGAGAACAAATTTTCAGCCAATGTCTACCAACGCAGAAAACGTCGTCGCGTCAAAAACTGCCTGTTTTCGGAACGGTTGGCGCAGTAAAGAGGTAAGTAGTGCCTTATTGCATTCCATTGTCACATCAGCACGATAGCAGTGGTAGTCAGATATACAGGCTAAACGTAGTAATTATACATGTAGATCCTTATGATACCAATAGTAGTGTAAAGTCCGGTGTAACAATGCGAAAGTACTCTGATATTATGCGTAGGCCGTATGTGTTTCTTGGCGACATTTTTCCTGATCTAATAGAGCAACCCAGCTTTTCTTGTTATATTTGTCCTGGTTAGGACCGTTTCATCCATATCTGCTGCACCATCTCCTTCTCAGACTTGTATCTACTGATTACTGGTCCATAATTTGCATACCTACGCTTTTTTTCCTTGGTTTGTCGTGCACGCGTCGCGACCGGAGGCGTTACGGGCATTTGTACGTGAATCCCTCCGAACCCGTAGATGCTCTCATCATGTCAGGACACCTGATCCTACCGTGGAACTTCCTCCTCCTTCATTTTTCTCTTCTCGTTCCTTCTTTTCATTCCTTTTATCTTCCCTCTTCTTTTCCATCTCTCTTCAAATATTTGGCTAGAAGGTCTGATGAGAAAATCCCTCTGAACCCTGACAGCGAGAGCATGTCCGATAGACAGAAGCCCTGTAACCTTCAGACATCATGAGGTGGCTCACCCACCTTGCGGTCCTCTCCCCTTGAATAGGCCCATCCCCTAGCTTGGCACATGTTTGTTTTTAGCTCATTTCGATGCTTCACCAGCAGCCGTCCTCTGTCTGCCTGCTTCACAAGGTTTCGCAAGAGGGCCACGCTCAGAAGTTTATGCAGTCATGAGAACCCCAACTGGGTAGCGATTGCCAAACCCAGTTGGGATTTTCATGACTGCATGGAACTGAACTGTGTCACTATCGAACATCTGAGGACGACAGTGACGCAACAGCCCGTTCTGCTCAGGTTAGGCAGATTTTTTCATCGCCGGAAACTTCATGAAATGATCGCCAGATTAGCGATTTTAACAACTTATTATCTGCAGAATTACATCACCAGAGCGACAAAACCCTCACACACCCAGACACTAAAGCAATGAAGACAAGGCCATTTGGGGGTGAGGGAAGTGGAGCTTCAATTAGAAACAACGAAAACAACTGCATTGAAAGAGCGCTCCGAAACACAAAAAGTTCACCTCAGACGAACTATCGTTATTTCGTCAACTCCAGCGCTCATCAGTGAAAAAGAGCTGATGAAATAGGGGCGGTACAGGGAAGGAGTTGATGAAAAAAATTTGAGAAAGGTGCGGCATAGGTATTGAAAGATGAAGGGCAGCGGCACTTTTTTCAGGTTCGCCTACCAGATCTCTTGACGTCATGGAACTTGCGTGTCATCCTTGCGAATATCTTGGCGCATACTAAAGCAGACGCAGAGATGTGCAAAAGCCTTCAGTTGGTTGTAAAGGCTGTGTAATCAAACGCCGACACAATCTAGGGTCTATGTGGAGTACGTGGCGTAATCCGAATAGATCTACGGCCGAATAGACCTGCATGCTACGCGCATGCAGGCCTATTCGGCCGTAGATCTATTCGGGGACCTAACCCCGGATGGGCTCCCATCCACGCCAACCAAGCCTTCACTCTCGGACGGTAATTTGGCTCCAGATTCGACTGGGCTGGTATTGATGCATTGTTACTTCGGTTGGTCACAGACGCCATAGTGCACGGCTCAAGCAATCGCATTCAGGTGCCACTGACGAATGAAGTAGATATGCTTTAGGCATCTCAAATAAACCTGCCATCATTTTTAAAGACAATGTCCGCGATTAAGTATTCGGTAATTGGTGCTCAGTTACGAAGCAGCGGCCCATTTGTAACCCCCCAGTGGAAAAAAAGCGAAAAAATACCTCGCGAACACCCTGAACACAGACCTCCCTTTATGCAGTGGGCTCGGCTCGGGGGCCTGGACGAGTGTGCCGCGAGCGTGGCTGGCCATAAATCGATGCAATGTCTCCAGCAGCAATTGTCGTCCTCGACTTGGTTCGAAATAGCGAGGTACTTTAAAGGACACGGGAAGCAGTTCGGGACGCGGCGCACTTCGTCCGCCTATCCGTGTCAGGCGAGGCCTTAGCGAGCCTCGCTGGAAATCGCGTATAGACGTTCTGATATTGCGCCATGATTGAGGGATGAAAGTGGTTATGATCTTAGCGTCAAAGCGTAGCGTAGAGGGTTCCAAAAAGCGCACGAAGTCATTTTGAGGACCACTTGATAGCGGGGAGTGTCTTTAAGAGTGTGCCCTCGCCCCTTAAGTCACAACCCAGCCTGAAAATATGTTAGTCATAAAAATGAAGGAAAACTTCGAAAAGTGGAACCTCAGCGGAGCACAAGGGCCACCCGAGCCGCGTTCCAATTGCAAGAGGTGACCACGTGTAATTTAATTCGCTACTTGGATGTTTAGTAATTCCCTAGCGAGACAACCACAAAACAACCATCCTCACGAAGTAAATGAGAAATGGAATTGGGGCGATTCTGCACAGCAAACAACTTTCTTTTCACTTCCGTATTCCGCCTAATAGACTCATTTCTGGAGAGCATAGCACAAGATTGTGATAGAGGTGGCGTAGTGACATAGCACGCTTACGCACAGTCCGACGGTGAAATTAAGGAGCTCCAGCCTAGGCCAACCAAGACGTAAGGCTCAGTGGGAGTGGGGAAGAGATTCGCCATCACAATTTACTATTTCTTTGAGGCCCTTTTTTGCTGTGCCAAATAAAATAAGCCCTAGGATTGGTCGTTTTGTCTAAAATAGTTCTTATCGGTTTCATGTAAGTTAAAGGGGAGAGGATGAAGTCTGCGCTCTATCTGTGGGATGCGGCACGCATTCCACTTCCATTCAGAATCGTACTGCTTATTGAATGTGATGTGGCCTATACAATGACTTGCGGGGGCCAGCCGGCGTTCTTATCCTTCCGGACGAATCTGGTACCAATTTACCGTCCCCGGAGGGGGGGGGGGGTAGAAGGCCTGGTTGGCCCGCTCGCGAGTCGACCCAGGACCGCGCGGCTGGTAAGCGAGCCACTTGTCACTGCACCATCTCCGCCACCATTAAGTCAAAAATTCAAATGGGTAAATTCAATTTTCGTCGGCTGGGAAAGCTTTCTGGGAACCCACGGCTTCTTCCACTACATTTACCTTCCGGTGCACATCGATTTCAGCTCAGTCTAATGGATTCATATCTCGTGCGGTTTTCACACGTAGGGCAGCTCTTTTGCATCCGCCGTCACGGCAAAACCAAGCGGTGTCTGGGCAGATGATGCACGGGGTTCTTCCTTACTACGTTCCCGTGTCAGAGCTGAACGCGGTGACGTCAAATTCCTGCGTAAGATAGCGAAATCTTGGCAAAGTGGGCACTACGAGTGATGGTTTCTTTATAGCTACCGATGGCCCTTCAAGGGAGTAGGTTAGTGTAGTGAGAGGGGGAGGGGGGCAGGGGGGCAGATCGTTCCAGATCCCTTCCTGCCAATTGTGGCGAACTCAGGACGGCTTGAATGATTCAACGGACGCCTTGGCCGCACTCCCAACAATCATATTGTTCAGTGTTGGACAGAGACGTGATCACACCCGGTATGTCAAAACCAAAACATTTGTTGGCCGCAGTTCGACGCGAGGGGGCATTTAGGCACTTCCACTACTTCTCTAATTAGTCAAACTCTTGTGAAACTTGTGAAGCTGAGATGAGCTCGTCTAACCACCATGGTAAAACATGTCAACTCAAGAGAAGGCTATCTGAATGGGCCGGCAACATCGATGGGAAAGGCAAAATGCGCCCTTCCCCGCCCGTCCCCGTCACCGCAAGCTGCGCGCCAAATACCTTTCTAACAAGGCAACAGCCGGGCGCGCCGCGTTTAGTTGATTGTACACAAGCTGCCTTCACCACATCTTAGGGAATTTCAATGTGTAGATATAGGATAAGGGATGTGATATAGCCAATCAATTAACTTGTTGGCCCAAAGGCACGTGTGATAGCTAGAGATGAACTGCCTACAAAACTGGTATCGTCGCAAATCAGCTCGCAGCAATTGGTCAAGAGGGATGAAAGGAACACCACCCACTCTTATTTCCACCACTGTGTTTGCGGCTCTGAACAGCTCACTAAGAACCGACCCATTATCTGGTGGAGAAATTCAAGCCGCGAGGCGGGCAACAGCGTCCCCCCCGCCCCCCCCCCGCAGCGCTCCTTATTGGCGACATTATCAACTGTGCTCATGTTAAGGGATCAAATTACACGTGGGCAGCGGAAGCTCGCAGCCGGTGCTGTTTGTCGAGGGCGGGGGGCATTTTGTATTATCAATGTGCTTCGGCTAGTTCGCGGCTTAGCAAATCTCGGCTCTGGTAAAACTTGTGGGCTCTGTAGTGAAGCTGAATAAGGTACTCGTACTCGCTTCTAGAAAGCGCTGCCTAGGTGGGTGCGACACATTTACGGAAAGGCAAAATGCCACCCCCCCCGTCCGAGCAAAAGGGCGCCGTCCCAGCTTCTCTTACGGCCACGGTAAAAAACACCTGGCCAGAATTTAGAAGGCAAAAGGTAATCACGGTCCAGACGCTATGGTACGGCTCAAGATTTTCCTACTTTCGAAGGGTGGTAATTGGAGCGCCACATCATTAGCGGCCCTTATCGTCAATTGGCGGACGCGGCTGCCCTTCAAATCAACCATGTTTGTTTCGGACCGAAGTGTTATCAATTTTCCACATTAGTGTGGGAGGGTTAGTACGCCCCTACATCCCTCAACGTCATTAGGGCGTATTGCATTCAAAATGCTACTAGGACTCAGAAAAAGGGTGGACTACATGGTGCATCCCATAAGGGGAACTTCCAGGACCGAAAAAATTGTCCTCTAACTTCCACTTCTCATTCTAGTTGGTCATTCGAAACAAATAAACAAGTAAACAACCCCGCAATACTTTGCCTTTACTCTGACCTTGCCTTGGAAGTCAGAGGAGAGCATCACGAATACCTTTCCATGATTCAAGCTTATTTTTTTGACCATTCAGTGGAGGGCTTAATAATGATCACCCCAAGGAGCCCCAGAGATTTTGGAGTACATTCGTGACGTCACAGACATGGCGAAAATTCGATTGAATTTTCATTATGAAACATGAAACGACTAACAACATCAACAATTCTGAAAGTTTCTGCCTAATAAGGCTTAAACTGATCCTTAATTGATATGCTTTCATAAAGCACGTCGTAAAGGCATTGCACTTATGTCGTGGTCAAACAAACAAATAAACAAACAAACATTCAAGTGAAAACAGAAAGTTATGCAGTTTAAAACACTCATGAAATCTATAAGAAGTGATCCCGTAAAGTGATACCATTCGTTACGAAGCCGTTTGTTCGACTAGGCTTCGTAGAATCGACTAGAACTAACAATTGATGCTGTAGATATGACAGGAAAGAGTTACTGCTAAGAGTCAGAAATTGAAAGAGATAGATCATGAAAGGTATTGAAATCAGTCGGAAATGTGGCTGATGCTAAGGAGGTAGACGATCGAATGACGAGGCTAATCGCGATGAGACGAATTGCTCGGAGGGCGGGGCGAAGGATGAGGTGAGTCTTGCTCGTTCACCACCGACAGCGAGAGGTACATCTGAAACACTTCGGTCAAAGCTAAAACAGACAACATAAACTTCATACCCCGAAGAAGGAAAGGGCGTGGTCTCTGCCTTTAATTGAACATGGCGTAGTGTGTGTTTTCGTGGGATATTACCATTTGGGAAAGCTGTCATCTTATCTTGTGCTGATCAAAGATATTATTACGACTTTCCCAAAACGGCAACATCTCAACAACGCGGAGTCGCTACGACGTTTAAATGGAGTAAGTAACCACGCCCACTCCATCTCGGGTATATCGAGTGCCAATTGAAGGATCAGCCCATCTCACTGTAGGACTAGGACATCACTTTCCCAAGTTTTGGCCAAAATGTCGACCTGCTTGCGAATTTCGGCGCTAATAACCATGGGGGGGTCACACCTTTACAAACGCATATCGTAGTGTGTCTTTTTTCCTTGAGTATTCCCCCGTAGTCGTGTCTCACCCTGCTAGTCCTGAGCTTCCTGCCAAGTACAAAACTCCTATCTAGCTTCTTTACTAGCGTCATTTGTACGGGAGACGGACAAGACAATCGCAACTAGTCGCGTCGTCGCCCGCGGCGTATCGTGCGGCGATGCGCGGCAAATTGCTGATGTGTTAGTTAGTTTGTCTATTGGAGCAGCGAAACTCTTATGAAATCAAGCGGAACCCCAAAAGTCTATGGCGGGCGATATCGAAGTTTCCCGTTCCTTCGAAACTCAAAAATGAACTGCTGGGCAGAAAAACTCGTCTAAGGGGCGCCGCCACACCCACCGGCGCGGCATATTACGATTGTCTTGTCACACGCCCCAACTGAACACCATTTCTTCATTTTCTTCCAAATTTTGATCAGTCATTTTAACAAGTTCGACAGGAGGTTGCAGGGTATTTGACAGGGGATAACAAGGCTTACAGGGGCTGACAAGGTTTCCCGGTATTCTGATGTATGCAGTTTACAGGATTAGGCATGTTGACAAGCGCTCACAAGTGCGGCACCCTCCCCACCCCCCCTCCCTTCCCCACATAGCACACAAGCGTTATTACGCTCGAACTTCTTCTATTAGAGGGTGCAAAGATAAATAACGACTTGGCTTACATGGGTCTTAAAGTAACGAACTGGCTATGGAAGCTTCCACAGCCAAGTCTATCCTCTTGAAGAGAAACTCCCCCAGGGGGTGGGGGGGGGCAGTGCAGACCAGTGCAGATGAAGGGCTCACGACCCCAAGAGGTACCGCACCTTGGAACATCTCAGTGCTTTCTTTGAAAAATCTAGCGGGTCATCATCGTAATCTTGTACTTCTCCCGTCCGTCACACACTCAGTGAGCTCAAGTCGGCTAATTCTCTTCTTCTACTGAACTCCCTGAAGCTGGGTTGTCCTGAAAAAAGGGTGAGTCATTAGGTCCTGATAAAAATCACGGTTAATCACGAATGTCGCACGTCATCTCTTCTGTCGATCGATCGCCTCTGCCTCGCCGACGTCTCTGCTTCATCGTGAGATTCCCGTTCATCCTCACTTTGATGTCCAGATTCCTGGAACAAAAAGATTAACCAGAACAAACAAACAAACAAATAAATAAATAAATAAATAAAGCAAAGTAAACAACACGAACAACAAACCTGATGCTCATTGGACATCGAACGTCTCGGTTTCCTATTCCTATCGTCTCTTTGGATTGAAATCGAATCAGTAATCGATGTGTATTCACCATGTCGATGACGTCGTACAGACCTGAATAAGGACCTATCTTGATTGGCAACATCAGAATGGCGCCGTTTAAAGGACATCAGAGGAGGAGGAACACAACTCAAAACACCGCAACTAATTTAATTCCCAGAACTAACACATACCACCTTGAAATTTCCATCATGAAGTCAACACTAAAAATAGTTGTTCCGATTCAGAATTACTAGATCTATGTTACTGAAGGTATTATAGGTACGGGTCAGGAGATCCGTAACTCGCCACTCGTTCAAGTTTAGGTCCTGGTGCGAGTGCCGCGCATGCGCTTCTGATACAACTTTCGCCGCGCCGTCGCAGCACGGATCTCCTGACCATTATCCAACGCTTATAAATAAAGTGAACCCACGTCATCGATTTCACAGGCGTCACATTGGCTGGATCCAGCGACAGCATACTTCCGTAACGCCTCTCATGAGGACGCGGTGAAAGCAGAGCTGGATCTTCTGTCGAACCATGTGGACCTATGAAGAGAACGGTCTTGCACCCAGGCGAAAGTAGTTCTTAAATAATGGCTTTCTATGAAGAAATCGGCGCTGTTCGGTTTGAAGGGGGCATTTGACCTTCGTAGCTACTATTCTTGGTTCTTGTTAACTAACAAGTCTCGCTATGCCCACGCTTATTAACCCTGGATAAGCGGCGAAATTGTTTGAGTGAGCCATGTCGTCACAAGAATCCATAGGTCTCCCAAGTCGGAACAGCGCCAAAAGAGGTCTGCCCAGCTGAAGTACCTGTAATTCCGGCATAACAGTATTCAATGCGCTGCTAACGGCTGTCCAACTGGAGCCGTAGCAGCCACCATCGCCTGGCTATCGGCATCGCGACCCGCACGACCTGCAGTCTGAATCCTTCGCGTGAATTTCCACATGAAACCAGCCCATAACAGGGAGATGTGAAGGGCGTGTCCCAGAGTTGTTTGTGAGCCTATTGGTTCACTTAGGTACGCACACAGCGTGCTTATTAGAGAGAAAACGGCACACAGAAGAACGGTCGGTAAACTTCCTAGGCTTCTGATCGCGGCACTTGCCGCGCCCGACAAATGAGTACTTGGTCATGCGCCCTCTCTTTTTCCGAGATATGGAGTGTAAATTCTTCGTACTCACATCAACACAAAGCCGATCTTCTGGAATAGACGACGTCGTCAGTTGAGATGTCATGATCGATCGAAGACAATCGAGGATTTCGTTTCTGTGAAAGGGTTGCAAATAGGAAAAACTAACATGACAAATTCTACGGCACAATCCATGCTGATAATATGGGCTTAGATATCCAAGTAGCCAAAGTTGGTGCGTCACGATTTCCACGGCAGGGAAAGGATTAGTGAACGAACTGCGCACACCGGTTGACCGCGTCCACGCCCATACAACCAGTGCGAAGCCGCCTTGAGAAAAGAAGCTTGTTGGCTTGGCAGGGACGTGCTCCTAACTATAGCTCAGGATAGTTATTTCCGAAGATGTCGTTTCTTGTGATTAAATAATCTTTCTAAAAAGATTTATAAACTGATAAAATCATGACCTAACCTGACAAGAACCCATCTTGGACAACTGCACATAAGGGAATATGCCGTACAGAAAGAGAACGCTCAAGAAAGCACTTCATTGGGAAAAAAAAGCGCTAAAGGCGTAGTTCATGTTACCGAAGCGGGCGGAAGTCAAAGAAAAAGCTCAAAACATTTCCTACTGGTGGTCCCTGCTTTTTGGGTGACTAGAGGCTAATTAAGGAGGTTCAGTTTTGCCCAGTGTATCCGCTCATACGATGAGGGTAAGCCGCGAGGTCGTCATTACTTGGGATTGAATCGACCCATTCGATACCATCTAACCGATACCAGGTATCCCATTGCTCTGTTTGCTACAAGAATTAGGTGGAGAAATCACTTTTTGGAAGTCTTTCGCAATTCCTGTCGGATCTACACCCCACTGGGATAGGTAAGTAGAGGTGCTTAGACAGTCAGCAGAGCCAAAGCATCTCGTAATACTATTTCTAATGGAACTACTTAGGCCAACAGGAGTCGCCTTCTGGTTGCTGCAGCAGCGGAAGATGACAGGCCAGAAATTACCTGTGTTTTCTCGATGGCCAGCAACCTGTTATCCAGCTCTCCCACCGTCTCACGAGTAGTAACCTCTTTTGATGCAAGATCGTTCAGTCGATTCAGAATCATATCGGTCCTGGAAATAGCTCATTCTCGCACGCGATCAAGGGTTACTGCCAGAAGGGTTAGAAAGGTAGTGCTTGGCCAAGGCAAGTCATGACGATGGAGGAAGTTGGTCGTTTAATGCGACCTGCTCACCCCTCCACCGCCGCCTCCAGCAATACCCAATGAAACCTAAACAGTAGAACTTCTCCTAGTCCCTCAAAAGAAGAGAGAAAAAGAAGAAAAGCCACGCCAAAAGAAAACAACAAATTTCCTATTAGCTATTCCATCCCAAATTACTCCTTTAGATTACTGCAGACAGGGCACCTCCTGCCGTAAGAAAAATTTTTGCAAAATACGACCCTTCCACAAATCTACTCTTCTGGTATGACCCCCTTCTCCATCCTACCTACCATCTTCCTGAATTCTCTTAACTCCCCACCACTTTTCCTCGTTTTTGAGTTCCGGACTGGAAATATTTTCCACTAAGGCAAATGCGACCCTTCCCCTCTCTTCAGCGACCAAATGCCCTCTTCGCTGGGGGATCCCCAAAGTGTGACGTGCCTTAAAAACAGATCACCCCGAGCAACCAAGTACGACCCCTGTTCCGGAGAGGATCCCTCGACTATGTCGCGCCCTAACTTTTACCATAACCACACCTTTCAGCGGTCCTTTGTATCCGTTCCTCGTTGCTGGTACGCTTTCGCATCTCTTTATCCCTAGCCAGATCATCCATGCAATCTTCTTCGAAATCGTGCAACTTTTCGACTTGATCGGCATTCAGAAACAACTCTGAAGAAGTGCTTCAATAGACATTAGACATTGTGAACATACTAGATAA